AAAGGACTGTCATTTTATGCTATGCCTGTATAGCATCTGACCTCCAGGATCCTGGCCTGTGACCAAAGCACGTAGGCACCAAACAAATAATATATAATAATAATAATATATGGCATTGGTGTAAGCTATTCTGGCAAAACGTAGCTAATGGAGACCCAAGCTTAGTGGCTAGATTTTCAACATTACACAGTAGCAAATAAGCTTGGGGAGTTTCAGCTATGGGTCAGACACAACCCTTCACAGGAACCAGCTCTTGGGGAGAAAAACACATAGCTGTGTGATTTAATTAAAAAAAAAAATCCCAATTTTTTCAAAAGTGGGAAATTTGTTCGTTCCACAAAGAAATCTAGCGTGTACTTGATAAAAGCACCCACTTCAGTCCCATAGTTTTATCAAGAGAATTGCTGAAAAGGGTCTTCCGGCTCTACAAGGAGAATTCATTTTCCAAAAGTCCTTAGCATCCAGCAACTACTATAAATTTGACTGAAAGCTGCTGAATATTATCAGTTTTGAAAATCCAGTTACTTCATATTCAGAATGTGAACGCTGGAATCTAACAGTAAGCTTGTTCTTTTGAAAATTATGGCCAAAGAATCTGTGTGTGTCTCTATATGTAAATATATAATTTTTAATGGATTTTGAGTTACCCAGAGCTAAACAGAATCAGAAATTGCTGAGACATAAATATCACTGTAATGTAAAAATATTCACCATTTAATCCTGATAAATACTGGATTATAGACTTCGGAACACAGACTGACAATTATTGGAAATCATGTGGTCATCTCAAGTATACAGTATTTCAATTAAAATAAAACCATAAAATCCTTTTTCTTTTTTTAAAAGTACCATCTAGCATATAATTTATTTGGATGAACTCTACAAATACACACATTATATCATGCTAGAAGAACTTGAGAACCACTTTTTTCTTATTCCCAGGGTCTCTTGACTGTTGGTAAGACATGACAGTCATAATGATAGAATCGGTTTACAGTTGCAAATTCTGCCAAATATCTCACAAATTACATTTGGCAAACAGCACTGCCTCTGTTTCACAAAGATAATGATCTGATGCTTTGTTTATGTGGCACCAAAGGAAAATATTGTTTTAGAGCTTGTGATAGATTTTCAAAAAGTTTGTGTGGTATTCTAAACTTCTGATACACTTAATTGTTACCACTTTATTAAATACAGAGTAACAGACTTTAAAAGTATCCTTCAAAAAAGAAAAAAAAAACCCTCTTCAATTAAATAGGTTGTGTCCATTTTATTTCCTCAGCGTTTACCCAGACCTCCATAGCAGCTGCTGTGGATATGCATGCAATACTTTCTACATCTGATGGTGTCGAACATACAGATGAATTGCCATAATGGCAACTCATTTTATATAGTTATAGATTTAGTGTTATAGAACTGCTTTTAGGGTGTAGTCTGAAAACCATGGTACACAAAGGGAAACACGCTACATCAGACTTGAGCCACCTAGAAACCTGCAGCCAGCAGGCAGTTTGGAAAGGAAAACAGCATAACCTTGACAATGCTACTCTTTGGATGACTCTGAGGAGAAAAAGAAAGGAGCAGTGGGTTTGAACTGAATCTGGGACTCTGCTCTGAGACAGACTGTTTCCATTCTGTATCCTGTGGTACAAACCTACCTGGTAAGGGCTAAACTTTATTGGGAAATCCACTGGGAATTTGTTTTGGCAACAGCATCGGGCCAAAGGTAGAGCATACCATACCAGTAGTGGGTCCAGGTGCCCTGACACAGCCGGCACCCCCAGCCAGACTGTCAGCAGGCTCAGATGGCATGTCCTAGGTCTCCTGTCTCCTCCACTGCTGGCACAGCAGTGTCCCAGGGGGGTTCAGTCTGGGAACCAGGTGCTATTTCTTGAGTCTGGGAGACGGTCTCTGCTTTGGTTCTTTGTCTAGCTGGTCAGATGGGGTGGGCAGGATGTGCTGTGGGACTGCTGCAGGAATGGCAGAGGAGGCATTGCCCAAAAGGGAAGGGCAAGGTGGTGCAGATCACTGACCTCAGCAAAAGGGTTGTCCTGTCCCTGGGCAAGGGGCCAGACCCAAGGCATTCATCTTGGTGATGGCAGCAAACAAAAGCCCTGTGTCCACGGGGACCGTATCTACCTTGACACTGACCAAGGTGATTTGGGGAACCTCCTTTTTTTCTGCAGATGAGCACCAGTAGCAGTCCTTCTCCTTGTGTGGCCTGCGTCTTTGTGCAGCTTCTTTGGCTGGACTTTTGGGATGGAGGAACAGGGATACAATAGGAAACCTGGCAATAACCACCCCAGGAGAAGCATCTTTTGTGGGAAAGGACAGGGAACGTGGGGCCCTTGATTTGACCTTGAGATGAGAACCAGAAGCTGTTGTTGAGGTTAGGCAGAGCTGTGGCAGTGGTCTTGGCATGGGAGGTCATGTCCACTGGCCTAGAGCTGGCTGGGGAGTGGATGAGGAGAGAGGGGCTTGCAGGCTTCCAGCTGTGAACAGGCCTCTTCCTGCTCTTCATCCTTTGATGTTTTCCACCAGACATATCAGAGCTGCTTGTACTGAGGCAGCAAAGCCCGCGAATAGAATCATACAATCATAGAATCATTAAGGTTGGAAGAGACCTCCAAGATCATTGAGTCCAACCGTCAACCCAACACCACCATGCCTACTAAACCATGTCCCTAAGCGCCTCATCTACCCGTCTTTTAAATACTTCCAGGGATGGTGACTCAACCACTTCCCTGGGCAGCCTGTTCCAACGTTTAACCACTCTTTCAGTAAAGGAATTTTTCCTCACATCCAATCTAAACCTCCCCTGGCGCAACTTGAGGCCATTTCCTCTCGTCCTTTCGCCAGTTACTTGGGAGAAGAGACCAACACCCACCTCGCTACAGCCTCCTTTCAGGTAGTTGTAGAGAGCGATGAGGTCTCCCCTCAGCCTCCTTTTCTCCAGGCTAAACAACCCCAGCTCCCTCAGCCGCTCCTCATAAGACTTGTTCTCCAGACCCCTCACCAGCCTCGTTGCCCTTCTCTGGACACGTTCCAACATCTCAACATCCTTCTTGTAGTGAGGGGCCCAAAACTGAACACAGTATTCGAGGTGCGGCCTCACCAGGGCCGAGTACAGGGGGACGGTCACTTCCCTAGTCCTGCTGGCCACACTATTTCTGATACAGGCCAGGATGCCGTTGGCCTTCTTGGCCACCTGGGCACACTGCCGGCTCATGTTCAGCCGGCTGTCAACCAGCACCCCCAGGTCCTTTTCCCCCAGGCAGCTTTCCAGCCACTCTTCCCCAAGCCCGTAGCGCTGCATGGGGTTGTTGTGGCCGAAGTGCAGGACCGGGCACTTGGCCTTGTTGAAGCTCATACAGAATATTTATCGAAGGCTGTCACTGGTGGTGAAAACTGGAATGGCCAGCAGAGAGAATTGGAAAGAGGGGAGGCAACTGCATGTAGGGCTGTCCTGCCTCTTTTTCCGTCTCCATGAGGCCTTGCCTCTTCCCTTTAAGGGAAAAGAAGCTGGAAATGTGGGAAGGACAGGATTCATGCAATCTTGAGATTGTGGAAAGGGTTAGTGGGAAAGAACAGAAAGATGGAAAGGGCGCAAACTCCTCTGATTTTACTGAAAGACTGGAATGAGGTGGCACTCCAACTTGGTGGAGGTTGCACCAGGTTGAGATTAAAAGGGATGGTACAGTACACAAATACCATGAGCAAGTTAAAGGGGAGGTAGCCCCTTCAACTGTCATGTGTAGCTCTTCTGACAGCCCTTATATCTATTTGTCTTGTTACTACAGACTCGCTAATGCAAACACAATGAGATCTTTTAGGGGTTTATGGAAGTTTGCTAGCAAAATGCTGGCTCCAAGGCCAGATTCTGGCTACGTTTGGGCATGAGAGACTGCAACTGCTAATAACTAAGGCTAAGCTGACCTTCATGCTGCCATCTAGTGTTTCCTCATAGACAGAAACAACATCCCAAAAAAGAAACTTCGAAGCTCCATAATGCTGTATTCAGAACAAATGTA